CTCCCCGGCTCTGGGAGGGGAGTGGGGTCTAGTGGTGAGAGCAGGGGCCTGGTTCTGTCACTGGTCGCCCCTGCTCACCGCAGCACACAGCACATCAGCAGCAGGTGCGTGGGCACGTTGGCCGGGTTCAGCATGCCGGGCGTGTCGGCCCGCAGGCAGGCCAGGAAGGCCCTCATGCGCCGGTTCTTGTCCTCCACCGCCTTCCCCAGCCACAGCTTCCGCAGGTTGGGGCAGGTCCACTCGCGGAAGGCCAGGGCCGAGACCAGCTCCGGCGTCTGCGGGGACTTCCCCTTGTACGCCGCCCACTCCTTGATGATCACAGGGGGCACTGCGGGGCAATGAGAGGGGAAGGGGTCAGAGAGAACCCAGGAGTCCTGGCTCCCAGCCCCCCGCCCGACCACCAGCCCCCACTCCCCTCCCAGAGCCGGGGAGAGAACCCAGGAGTCCTGGCTCCTCATACCCCCAAACACCACTCCCCTCCCAGAGCTAGGGACAGGACTCAGGCGTCCGGAGTCTCCCAGCCCCCACCACGGGGGTCCGTACCTTCCGTGGGGATGCGGCGGCGGATGGCCAGGCGCTCCACCCGGCGCTGGTTCTCGGCCACGCCGAACAGCACCCCGTAGACATGCTGGCGGGCGCCGCGGAAGAGGACAGCGGCTGGAGGCAACTCAGTGTTACACTCGTCCTCGATGCACACGGGGAGCTTGATCTCGCCCTGCGCCGGAACGTCAGGAGAGGGATTGAGAACCCAGGAGTCCTGGCTCCCCCCCACTCTAACCCACCAGACCCCTCCCCTCCCAGAGCCGGGGAGAGAACCCAGGAGTCCTGGTGCCCAGCCCCCCAGCTCTAACCACTAGACCCCACTCTCCTTCCAGAGCCAGGGAGAGAACCCAGGAGTCCTGGCTCCCAGCCCCCCCCTTGCTCTAACCACTAGCCCCCACTCCCCTCCCAGAGCCAGGACTGGAGCCGGGCTCACCTTGGTAAGAACATGGTAGATGGAGGGGTACATGAGGCCGCGTCGGTGCCGGTGCTCAGCCACCCGCAGGACCTCGGGGGCGACGGGGGGCAGCGGGGGGGTGGTTATGTCCATGTGGTTGCGGGTGGCCATGGAAAGCAGCGAGGGGATGGAGGGCTCGGGCCCAGCCAGGGGCCCGTCGGTGTCGCCGGAGCCCCCGGCCTGTCCCCAGCCCTGTCTCAGCTTCTCGGCACTGGGCCCCTCCCAGCCAGACTTTGGCTGCAGCACTTCAGAGACGTGGCTGGAGAGGAGACATGGGGGAGGTGATGACTCACTCCCCTCCCAGAGCCAGGGAGAGAACCCAGGAGTCCTGGCTCCCAGCCCCCCTGCTCTAACCACCAGCCCCCACTCCCCTCCCAGAGCCAGAGAGAGAACCCAGGAGTCCTGGCTCCCAGCCCCCCCTGCTCTAACCACCAGCCCCCACTCCCCTCCCAGAGCTGGGGAGAGAACTCAGGAGTCCTGGGTCCTGCCCCCCTGCTCTAACCACTAGCCCGCACTCACTTGGCACTGCCCCCGTTGTGCTCTTCGCCGTCGGAGGAGGAGGAGGGGGAGGAGGCCGGCCCAGAGGAAGGGGAGGGCTTGGGGCCCCGGTGGTGGTGGGGGAATTGGGCGTTGTAGGTGCCGGACCAGCTGTTGAAGTCGCCGCCCTTCAGGACGGGGTCCTCGTGAAAGGGGGGCACGTCTCCGAGCGGGTGGGGGGAGAAGAGGAGGCTGGCACTGGGGCCCGGAGGGAAGGAGGCGGCCGAGGAAGAGGGCGGGGCTGGCGGCTGGTACTGCATCTTTGGCCCCAGGTGGGGTGGGAACTGGGGAGGGAGGCAGAGAGAGAGGTGAGCAAAGAGCAGCAGACCCCACTCCCCTGACAGCCAGGAGAACCCAGGAGTCCTGGCTCCAAACCCCTCCCCCCTCACTCTAAACCCTAGACCCCCCCCCTCCCCTCCCTGAACTGGGCAGAGAACCCAGGAGTCCTGGCTCCCAGCATCCCCTGCTCTAACCACCAGCCCCCACTCCCCTCCCAGAGCTGGGGGGAGAACCCAGGAGTCCTGGCTCCCAGCCCCTGCTGCTCTAATCACTAGACCCCACTCCCCTCCCAGAGCCGGGGAGAGAACCCAGGAGTCCTGGCTGTCAGTCTGTCCCACCCCCACTCCAACCCACTGACTCCAGAGACCCCAATCCCATTCTGCACCCCGGATTGGAACGTACCATAGGCTTCCCCATGGGGAGGGATCCCACCGGGCTGCGCTGCGCAGGGGCTGCTCCTCCGAAGTGGTTGGATCCATAGCCTGGCACTGAGACACAGAGCGGGGGCTCGGCATGCGGAGGGGAGCGGGGCTTAATGGTTAGCAGGGGGTGGCCAGGACTCCTGGGTTCTCCCCGGCTCTGGGAGGGGAGTGGGGTCTAGTGGTTAGAGCATGGGGGGCTGGGCGCCAGGACTCCTGGGTTCTCTGCCTGGCTCTGGGAGGGGAGTGGGGTCTAGTGGTTAGAGCAGGGGGGGCTGGGAGCCAGGACTCCTGGGTTCTCTGCCCAGCTCTGGGAAGCGAGTGGGGGCTGGTGGTTAGAGCGGGGGGAGCTGGGAGCCAGGACTCCTGAGTTCTCTCCCGGCTCTGGGAGAGGAGTGGGGGCTGGTGGTTAGAGCAGGGGGGGCTGGGAGCCAGGACTCCTGGGTTCTCTGCCTGGCTCTGGGAGGGGTGTGGGGGTCTACTGGGTTAGAGCGGTGGGGGGGGGCTGTGGGGAGGAGGAGAAGCGCTGGCTCTGGGGGGGAGCTCCCGGCTGTTCCAGTCCCGGCCTCGCCCAGCAGGGGGCGCTGTGGGGAGGGGGAGGGGCTCTGACTGTGGGGGGAGCTCCTGGCTGCTCCAGCCCCGGCCTCTCCCAGCAGGGGGCGCTGTGGGAAGCGGCCCTGTCAGATACTCACGTACAAACGAGGACAGGCCCACAGGAGCTGGGGGCATCTTGGCAGTCACCGAATAATAGTTCACGGCTTTCTTGAAACGCTCAATCTTATCCTCCGTCCTGGACTGGGGGAGCAAAGCGGACAGGAGACTGGCTGGGGATCCGGGGGCTAAGAGGGGCCCCACCCCGGCCATCGAACCCACCTCTCAAAGCAGGAGCTGCTGTGCCCTGTCTGACGCTACAGAGCGACACAGGACTGCAGTGTCAGCCCAACGGGGCTTGGGAGTCAGACCCCCAAAGAGATGGGGCAAAAGCCAGCGCGCCTGGGGCCCCCTGATTTCAGCCGGTGGGGGTCTCACGGCATGCTGGGGCCCCCGATCTCAGCTGGAGGGGGTCTCATGGCGCACTGGGGCCCCCAATCTCAGCTGGAGGGGGTCTCACGGCACGCGGCGGGCCCCGGATCTCAGTCAGGGGGATCTCTCGGAGCGCTGGGCACCCCCCAATCTCGGCCAGAGGGGGTCTCATGGCACGCCAGGGGACCGGATCAGCAGCTCCAGTCAGCAAGCCAGGCCCCTCCCTGCTCACCTGAGAGTGTTTGAAGACGTCTCTCCCCACGGCATCCAGGTCGCAGGGGTCTTTGATGGCGCTGACGTACTCCGAGACGGCCTTGATCACCACATCGCAGGGGGGCAGCACCAGCTGGTGGGCTCGGACCTGGGCACGGTGGGGGGGAGACACGGACAGTGCTCAGCATCTGGCACCCCACAGGCAGCCAGGCTGGAAGCCCCACCCTCCATCACCCCCCATGCGATCCCCGACCATAGACCAGAGAGCCTGCCCAGAGAGTCCCCAGCCCCCCAGGGGCTCCCCAACCGCAGACGCCCGCCCGGAGAGTCCCCAGCCCCCCGTGGGCTCCCCGACCGCAGATGCCCGCCCGGAGAGTCCCCAGCCTCCCCTGTTCTAACCACGAGACCCCACTCTCCTCCTAGGGCCAGGGATCCTGGCTCTCAGTCCCCTCTGCTCCGACCCACAATGCCTATCCGCAAGGCCAATCCCGTCCCAGCCCTACCAGGCTGCTGCAGGCGGTGCCAGGGGACTTGAGAGTCTACCTTGAGCGATGCCAGCGGGTGGTCTGGCCCCAGCAGGCTCCAGTGGAAAGCAGCCAGGTCCTCGTCCGGGAGGATGTGGTTACCTGGGGGAGGCGGGAATAACACGGTCCCCGGTTACTGCGCTCCAAAGGGATTCGGTGCCCACACCCCGCTCCCAAAGAGGAAAGGGGGGGGCGGTCACGGAGTCTTCTGATTGGAGGATTCAGGCCAGAGGGCCAGAAAACAGATGCTATGCAAATGAGGCAGCCCTGATTTGAATATCTGATTACTAGGCGCTGTCATTTGCATAAATGCACCCCCTCTTTCTCTCCGGATCCCCTTTGAGTGATCCCCTTTCTTCATGCAATTCCAACCCCCCCCTCGTGAATTCCCTGACCATAGAGACCCTGCCTAGAGTGATCCCCAGCCCATGTCCTCCCTGACCATAGAGACCCTGCCTAGAGTGGTCTCCAGCCCATGTCCTCCCTGACCATAGGGACTCTGACCAGAGACTAGCCCCTCCTCCCCAATGTGTTTCAACCATAGAGTTCCTGGCTAGACTGGTCAGCAAAGGCCTTGCCTAGACAGTAGTTCCCAATTCCCCCCCCATGTGCTCCCTGACCATAGAGTGCTTGTCTAGAGGGTGGTCTCCAGTCCCCTGTACAGGGCTCCCTGACCATAGAGTTCCTCCCTAGAGTGATCCCCAACACTCCTCCGTGTGGTACTTCCCATAGAGATGCTGCCTAGAGAGGTCCCCAAACCCCCACCCCACCAGGTGTCCCCCAAAGAGCACAGAGACCCTGCCCAGAGCGGTCCCCCAGCCCCTCGTGTGCTCCCCAACCCCAGAGCACCTCTCCCACAGCCACAGAGACCCGGCTAGAGCCACCACCGCCGCGGCTGCCCTGTCTGTCACGCCACCAGTCGCTCGAGCCATCTCTCTACGGCGGTGGGGTGGGGAGCGGCTCCCCCAGCCGGGAGGAACAGGGCGCAGCTTACCCAGTGCCACGGACCCCTCGATCCCAGGCACGGACTCCCCCTCCCAGGGGGACCTGCGTATCCGTCCCCCCAGCTAGAGGGGCTGAGCCCAGGGGGTGTCCCTGCTGCCCCCTTCCCCCCCAGCTCTGTGTGCCTGCCCCATGCAGGCCCCAGCTGTTCCTACCCAGCAGGGCGGCGAAGACGGGGAAGCTGGAGACCTTCAGGCCCAGCTGCTTGGCCACCTGGTGCATGAGGAACTGATTGGTGGTGAGGCTCTTGCCGTTCCAGCTCAGCTTCAGGGCGTGGGCGCTGAAGTAGCAAGGCAGGCTGGCCAGGGCGAACTCCGAGTCGTGGGCCAGCAGCCCGTGGAAGCCGCGCTCCCGGAAGAAGGACACCACCTCCAGGTGATGGTCCTCCAGGCTCTGGAAGACCTGCGGGTGGGAGAAGACGGTCACACTCGACTGTGGTGAGACAAGGGAAGGAATGGGGCCCGCACGGAGCCCCCCGCCACAGAGGGGGGAATGGGGGACCCAGGTATAGGGGAGGGAGAAATGGAGGGCCCTGGTATAGAGGGAGGAGGGAATGGGACACCCGCAGGGCCCCCTGCTGTAGAGAGGGAACGGGGGGCCCTGTATAGGGGGGAGGAGTGGGGGACAGAGCCCCCCGCAGAGGAAGGAAGGAAGGAGAGAACACAGTGCGCTGGGGGGTGCAATTGGCAGGCGCCATCTCTGGGCTCGGAGGAAGCCGGCAGTTCTTTGCTGGGTTTCTCTCTCCCCGTCAGCGCAGCCCGTGGTTCTGCCCGAGGGCCCGGGGACTCAGTACCAGTCATCAGCCAGGGCAGAGGCAGAGTTAATCAGGCCAACCCACATTGGGCGACCAGGGGGCTAGACAGAGGGCTCTGACTCGCCGGCCCACGACGCCTCTAGCTGCAGCCGGTCCCTGATGCTTCCGAGGAGGGCAGAGAAACAACAGTTCTGCATTGGGGAGAGATGGAACCTTCCTTCCTGACCTGAGCTGGCGAAGCCCTGAAGCATGGGAGTGGATCACAGCCCTTATCCGGAGGCAGAGCTATCCTCGGGCATGGGACAAGCAGCTCCACCCAGAACTGCTCCGGCTGCCTGTCCTCGAAGCGTTGCCGTCCCTTGATTGTCCCCCACCCCACCCCACCTCCCTTTGATCGCGACCCTGGCACGATTCCACAACCCTCCCGCTGGCTGCTCCTTCCCTCCCTTGAATTAAAGCTGGGTTGCCCAGCCTCACACTGCCAACACGCGGGCGCTGCTCCGGGGCGCTGGCCGTCTCATGCCTCCCAGAGACGCCCTCCAACCTAGGCACCTGTTTAAACACAGGCCACGGGACGTCCTTGAGTTCAATGGAGAATCCACACGTCCCTCGGGAAATAGGCCCCTCCCTGTTCAAAATCGACACCTGATTTCCAGGCTGGATTTATTGAGCTTCAACTTCCAGCCACTAGCTTGTGTTCGAGCTTCCACTGCTGGACTGGCGAGCCCGTCAGTAAACGTTTGGTCCCTCCGGAGGCGTTTAGAGACTGGGATCACATCACCCTTCACCTTCCCTTTGTGGCGCTCAACAGATCGCGCTCCTGGCGTCTCTCGCGGGCCGGTTTTCTAACCCTTTACATCGGTCTCCTGGCTCTTCTCCGGCCCCTCTTCAACTGATCAACAGCCTCCTTGAATTCCAGACACCAGACGCGGGATCCCAACAGCGGACGCACCAGGGCCGAATCCAGGGTGAAATCACCTCTCTGCTCCCACTCGAGATTCCCCGGTCTATACATCAGATGGCCTTAGCCCTTTCGGCCCCGGCGTCGCACCAGAAGCTCCCGTTCAGCTGCTTCTCCCCCATGACCCCCCTGTCCTATTTCTCCACTTTCCCTGGCACAGAGCGTTCCCCTGGCACCTACAGCTCAAGGGCGGACGATGCAGCTAGCCCCGTAAGTACCCTTCCTATCCAGCACTTGGGTACCAGGAGCCCACATTAAAGGTCAAAAGAGAACCACTGTTGATGATGGAGAGAGAAATCCAACAGACGCAATAAATATGAGTCTCCCAGCGCTGAGATGCAGCCACCTCTGGGGCGGGGCAGCTGGGGAACAGCCGCATATAACGCTACAGTGAGGGCTCGCCCAACGCTGAGGTGCAGGGGCAGCTGGGGAACAGCTGAACACAATGCCACATAGGAAGGGCTCGCCGGGTGCTGGGATGCAGCCACCTCTGGGGAACAATCACAGAGCCAGGCAGCCCAGCTGGTCGGGAGAGGAGACGAAAGAGAATGATGAAGTGCAGGGGAAGGAGGCAGAAGGGGTTAGGGTCACAGCTCAGACCGCAGGAAGTGGGGCTCATGCAGGTGGAAGGGACCATAGGTGGAAGGGCAGGGGGCAGACTCAGGTAGGCACAGTCATAGGGCGCCAGGGGGAGGCATGGGGTGAACGGACATGGGGGGCAGGCGCGCAGCCGCCCTCTCCTACCTTGACCCGGAAGCGGATCATGGCCAGGCGGACGCAGTGCCCCAGGCAGGCGGGGGGCAGGAACCAGGCGCGGGGGGGCGGCGTGCCCTTGTTGCCCACGTGGCCAGCGATGAGCTGGGCTGTCTGCCGCTCGGCCTGGGCCTTGCGGCCCCACTCGGGCAGCCGCTCCTTGCCCAGCCCGCCGTTGAAGATGACCGCCAGCTCCAGCCCGCCCTGGTAGAGGCAGGCCTGGGACAGGGCCGCCAGGTAGCCCACCATGGCGTTCCACTGGCCACCGCACACCCAGTCCGTCTGGTAGCCGCCATACAGCCGCTGCAGGGCCGAGTCCGCATCCACCAGCAGCCGGGCCGGGCAGGCCGACGTCAGCCCCGGAGCATGCTGGGAGTGAGCCGCCACCGTCGCCAGCCCCGGAGCATGCTGGGAGTGGGCCGCCAG